GCCGGAGGGGAGCAACGGGAGGAGACGTGACACTCTCCAGAGTTGACTCTAACATAGTCTATTAGCAAATTTTTGCCAGTTCTACAGTTTGGCATGGAGCTGAGACACAATTTAGCAGTTTTAAAGCTAATTTCCTGCAATTCTATGCATTTTGCCATGGCTAAAGCTGAGTTCCTCTGCTCAAACTTAAAAAAAAAAAATATTATCCCTGACTGTCTAGCTTTTATTTTGTTTGTTGGTTCTCAAATATGGTATTAATAAAAAATATAGATAGTTCAATATCTTTTCTGCATGCTCTCTATCTGGTTTTGGTTGTTTAAGTTGACACAAACTGTTTTTCAGTGTCAACAAAATTACCACTTAAACGGCCCGCCTAAGAATTGTCTATACAGAAAAAAACCTGTAATTAGCTCCAATGACTGTAATTTCCTCCATATTAAAGGGATAGTTTAAGATTTTGGCAAGAAAGCCCTTTATCTACTTCCCCACAGTCGGATCAACAGCAATAGCTAGCATGCTAACTTTTCCTGTAGACTTCCAGTCATTGCCCTAAAGCTAGTTAGCATTGGCTCGTGAAACTACCTTTTACTTCCTTCATACTGGACACAGACAAATACAAATTGTATCCACGATGGTATGTATTCTGTTGCAGCTAGCTATATTCATTTTTTTTTTACTATCGCCAACCCCTTGCTGTACCTCACTTGCAGTACCTCACCTGCAGTACCTCAGGCCAGTTTTAAAATCCCTGGTCTAAGAGTTTTTTCTCAACCTAAGAATGTATAGTGTTTGTGAGTGTGATTTGCTCACCTTCACAGCCTTGGAGTCCCAGGCTGGTGTGTGAGGCCCAGGCAGTCTTCCTTCTCTCCCTCTCTTCCCTCTCTCAGTGTTTTATGGGCTGTGTGCTGCGGTGCAGTGACCTCCCTCTCACCCTGGTGCCACCCAGCCGGTGCGGGATTCAGGCACGCTCGGCCCCTGCCAAAACCCCACAGCGCCACATCTGCTATCCATAAACGCCAGCCACTCTCGCTTTCCTTCTCCCTCACCCACACCACCTATCTCAACCTCTCCCTCTCTTTCTTCCCCCACAGCTTTTATTCTCATTTCACAACTCTATAGATCCCTTTTGCATTCTCTCTCTCCATCTCTGGTTTTATTCAGTTTGAACACCCCTAGACGGGTTCTTCCCTTATCTTTCTCTCCTTTACTACCCCTCCTCTCTCTCTCCCTCTTTCTCTTTATCCGCATCCAACGGAAAAATCTCTCACCCATTATATCTTCAGTGGGAGCCAGCTAAGTGTGGTGGCAGTGAACTGGGAACCACAGGACATTCCTGCAGCAAGCAGAGCAGGCCCCAGTCAGTCAGTCAGCCACCAGGCAGCAACGTTAGTTACAGTGCCTTGTAAAAGTATTCATCCCCCTTGGCGTTTTTCCTATTTTGTTGCATTACAACCTGTAATTTAAATTGATTTTTGGACATACACAAAATAATCCAAATTGGTGAAGTGAAATGAAAAAAATAACTTGTTTCAAAAAATTCTAAACAATAAATAACGGAAAAGTGGTGCGTGCATATGTATTCACCCCCTTTGCTATAAAGCCCCTAAATAAGATCTGGTGCAACCAATTACCTTCAGAAGTCACATCATTAGTTAGATTGAACACAGGTGGACTTTATTTAAGTGTCACATGATCTCAATATATATACACCTGTTCTGAAAGGCCCCAGAGTCTGCAACACCACTAAGCAAGGGGTACCACCAAGCAAGCGGCACCATGAAGACCAAGGAGCTCTCCAAACAGGTCAGGGACAAAGTTGTGGAGAAGTACAGATCAGGGTTGGGTTATAAAAAAATATCAGAAACTTTGAACATCCCACGGAGCACCATTAAATCCATTATTAAAAAATGGAAATAATATGGCACCACAACAAACCTGCCAAGAGAGGGCCGCCAAACAAAACTCACGGACCAGGCAAGGAGGGCATTAATCAGAGAGGCAACAAAGAGACCAAAGATAACCCTGAAGGAGCTGCAAAGCTCCACAGCGGAGATTGGAGTATCTGTCCATAGGACCACTTTAAGCCGTACACTCCACAAAGCTGGGCTTTACAGAAGAGTGGCCAGAAAAAAGCCATTGCTTAAAGAAAAAAATAAGCAAACACGTTTGGTGTTCGCCAAAAGGCATGTGGGAGACTCCCCAAACATATGGAAGAAGGTACTGTGGTCAGATGAGACTAAAATTGAACTTTTTGGCCATCAAGGAAAACGCTATGTCTGGCGCAAACCCAACACCTCTCATCACCCCGAGAACATCATCCCCACAGTGAAGCATGGTGGTGGCAGCATCATGCTGTGGGGATGTTTTAATCGGCAGGGACTGGGAAACTGGTCAGAAATGAAGGAATGATGGATGGCGCTAAATACAGGGAAATTCTTGAGGGAAACCTATTTCAGTCTTGCAGAGATTTGAGACTGGGACGGAGGATCACCTTCCAACAGGACAATGACCCTAAGCATACTGCTAAAGCAACACTTGAGTGGTTTAAGGAGAAACATTTACATGTCTTGGAATGGCCTAGTCAAAGCCCAGACCTCAATCCAATTAAGAATCTGTGGTATGACTTAAAGATTGCTGTACACCAAGAAGAATGGGTAAAAATACCAGTGGCTAGATGTGCCAAGCTTATAGAGACATACCCCAAGAGACTTGCAGCTGTAATTGCTGCAAAAGTTGGCTCTACAAAGTATTGACTTTGGGGGGGGGGGGTGAATAGTTATGTTTTTTTGTCTTATTTCTTGTTTGTTTCACCATAAAACATATTTTGCATCTTCAAAGTGGTAGGCATGTTGTGTAAATCAAATGATACAGTGAGGGAAAAAAGTATTTGATCCCCTGCTGATTTTGTACGTTTGCCCACTGACAAAGAAATGATCAGTCTATAATTTTAATTGTAGGTTTATTTGAACAGTGAGAGACAGAATAACAACAAATAAATGCAGAAAAACGCATGTAAAAAATGTTATAAATTGATTTGCATTTTAATTAGGGAAATAAGTATTTTACCCCCTCTCAATCAGAAAGATTTCTGGCTCCCAGGTGTCTTTTATACAGGTAACGAGCTGAGATTAGGAGCACACTCTTAAAGGGAGTGCTCCTAATCTCAGCTTGTTACCTGTATAAAAGACACCAGTCCACAGAAGCAATCAATCAATCAGATTCCAAACTCTCCACCATGGCCAAGACCAAAGAGCTCTCCAAGGATGTCAGGGACAAGATTGTAGACCTACACAAGGCTGGAATGGGCTACAAGACCATCGCCAAGCAGCTTGGTGAGAAGGTGACAACAGTTGGTGCGATTATTCGCAAATGGAAGAAACACAAAATAACTGTCAATCTCCCTCGGCCTGGGGCTCCATGCAAGATCTCACCTCGTGGAGTTGCAATGATCATGAGAACGGTGAGGAATCAGCCCAGAACTACACGGGAGGATCTTGTCAATGATCTCAAGGCAGCTGGGACCATAGTCACCAAGAAAACAATTGGTAACACACTACGCCGTGAAGGACTGAAATCCTGCAGCGCCCGCAAGGTCCCCCTGCTCAAGAAAGCACATATACAGGGCCGTCTGAAGTTTGCCAATGAACATCTGAATGATTCGGAGGAGAACTGGGTGAAAGTGTTGTGGTCAGATGAGACCAAAATCGTGCTCTTTGGCATCAACTCAACTCGCCGTGTTTGGAGGAGGAGGAATGCTGCCTATGACGCCAAGAACACCATCCCCACCGTCAAACTGTGTTTTTCTGCTAAGGGGACAGGACAATTTCACCGCATCAAAGGGACGATGGACGGGGCCATGTACCGTCAAATCTTGGGTGAGAACCTCCTTCCCTCAGCCAGGGCATTGAAAATGGGTTGTGGATGGGTATTCCAGCATGACAATGACCCAAAACACACGGCCAAGGCAACAAAGGAGTGGCTCAAGAAGAAGCACATTAAGGTCCTGGAGTGGCCTAGCCAGTCTCCAGACCTTAATCCCATAGAAAATCTGTGGAGGGAGCTGAAGGTTCGAGTTGCCAAACGTCAGCCTCGAAACCTTAATGACTTGGAGAAGATCTGCAAAGAGGAGTGGGACAAAATCCCTCCTGAGATGTGTGCAAACCTGGTGGCCAACTACAAGAAACGTCTGACCTCTGTGATTGCCAACAAGGGTTTTGCCACCAAGTACTAAGTCATGTTTTGCAGAGGGGTCAAATACTTATTTCCCTCATTAAAATGCAAATCAATTTATAACATTTTTGACATGTGTTTTTCTGCATTTTTTTGTTGTTATTCTGTCTCTCACTGTTCAAATAAACCTACCATTAAAATGATAGACTGATCATGTCTTTGTCAGTGGGCAAACGAACAAAATCAGCAGGGGATCAAATACTTTTTTCCTTCACTGTACAAACCCCCCAAAAACCATTTTATTTCCAGGTTGTAAGGCAACAAAATAGGAAATATGCCAAGGGGGTTCAATACTTTCGCAAGCCATTGTAACTCCTTCAGACCATAGCCAGCACAGCCAAGCACACACTTCACTTATTTTTAGGCTGGATTCCACTGCGTTACCAAGTCGCCGTTGGTCCTTAAACAACTGCATTTGTATCTGTTTTAAATTGATAGTGTGCGGGGAAATGTTGTGTACGCCGTCTATAGACAGATAGTAACACATGTAAAAGAATGGGACTAAGGACATTCTCCATGGCAGGTGGGGATATTGGGTCCCCCCCCCCCCCTCCCTCCCCCCTTCCCCTCCTGATCATGAACAGCTAGCTAGAACAGGCACACCTCACCCCTGCCTTCAGCTTTTAACACGTCACCGTTCAGTGCCCTTGCCTCCATTCATACGTGTAAAAAATAAAAAAGCTGATAATAAATGGAGTGTTTCAGCAAAACTGTCCAGGGCTCCCGGTGTGCCCCCCAAGGCAATAAAGAGGCATTACTCTTGTGCGATTGTTTTATCTTTATTTTTCAACTTTTTCCACACTGTAATCAAATTCGCAGTATGAAGAAATGTACAGTGAACTTTTGATCCCCTCCATTTCTTGGATCATGTTCCGCTCCTCCAACCCCAAGTCTTCACCTTCTAGTTTCCCAGACATATTGGCATGCCTCTTTTGGTGCAGTCCCAACAGAGACCCCGGATGAATCATGGCGCTGCGAGCATGCAAGAGCGCAGTTTTATGATAAATATTACAATTCATAAATCACTGTTTCTCAGAGGAGCACAAAGCATGGGATGGGGATGGGGAGGGATGTAAAACTGTTGAGCATTGGAGATCCAGAGAGAGAACAACATGGGGTCACGCGCTCTCTGCTTCAGTCTGACTGCCACCAGGGAGTGTGTGTGTGTGTGGGGGGGGTGCACTATGTAAAGGTCTGAGACAGTAGCTAGTGTGGGGGATATAAGCAGTCGACCAAGTGTTTAGAATAAACCTTTTCAATCAAATTAATTAAAGAGGCACACATTATTTTTTTCTTCCAGTTTCATCAGCAATGTACACTATCTGCATATAATTAAGAAAAAAACAACGATTACAATAGGGGAATAAAATGCAAAGACCCAAAGGAATGGCAGTGGAAAGAGTGATGGACCAATGGACCTAAATAGGAAAGGCAAGCTAGTTTATCCAAAGTTGTGATAATTAATGTGCCAAACATGTTGAAGTTGAGAATGGAATCTGTACAACAGTATTATTGATCTGAACATGCTCTCTCTGATTATGCCTCAACATTGTCTTCATGTTTGATCAAGTTATTTGTGTTTGAGAACAGGGACATGGCTCTCAGATAATCAGTGAATTCAGTTCCACCCTGTTATCAGTCACTGCAACAAAAAGCCTGTTTCCTCTTATACACTGTTGCCATCTAATGGCCAGTAAATGAACTAACTGGACCACAAGGACGTTTTCTAATGAAATAAAGACAAACAAGTGATTTGGTCTAATTGGTTTTATTTAATACAAATGGAAATCCATCTCTTGGAGTGAAAATGTCATCGCCACAGTCCATGTAAGTCCATCTCTACAGACTCCAACACCCATATAGCACACTTCTTGCAACAGACCACCACCTACTCCATGTCAAAATCATCTGGCACCCGAGTCCCTTCTCCCTTGACCCAGGGCAGGGGCAGAGGCACATAGGGGTCATACGTCCAGCGAGGGTAGATCCTCTTATACAGGTTCATCATGACAGTATCCTGAGACCGCATCTGGCTGTCAAATACACACTTCATGTGTCCATGAGTACCTGAAAAGAAATACCCACATACAGGTTTAGGTAAGGTATTCAAACAATTTCTCAATGAAGGTTACACATTGTTTCATGTCACTAAACAGTATTGACAAGGTTTAGGTTTTCTCCGTACCTAGGGCCTCCTTGATGTGTCCTCTCCGGCCCCACTTGGTTCTCAGCTCAACAGGCTTAAACCACAGGATGTCATCTATCAGAGATAAAAGAGCACAGAGGTCAGTTAAAATGAAAAGAAATAATGAAAACCACAGATGAGTCAGAGCCATTTCCTTCATCGCCACATTGGTAGTACGACTGAGGAGTTGTGGGCCAAATGGCACCTATTCTCCACTTTTAGTAGTGCACTATAAAAGGAATGGGGTGCCATTTGTGACACAGACTGTGAGAAGTTATGTGGGTATTATTGGGAAACATGTAGTGCCCAGCTCAGTGACCCCTCACCCCTGTTGAAGAACATGTATCTGCAGACAGCGGACCGGCGGTTGATCTTGAAGGGGTGTCCACTCAACACGATCCTCTTCAGCACCACATGCTGGGGGTCACAGCTCAGCAGACTGCCTGTACCCACCAGGTCCTGCATGCCTGGGTGGAGAGAACAGGAGAGATACAGGCTCAAATACAGGTAGAGACACTAATTCAGCCACACATCAGATACACAGACTTTCATATGGACACAGAAGCAAAGAAAGGCAGTGTGTTCCTCTGGCTTTCCCCATCCTCAAACAGGTAGAGACATACTAATTCAGCCAAACATCACTCTATCCAGGCCCTTACCATCCTCCCTCTGTCTGAAGAGCAGTACCCCAGCAGTTGGGAATGTAATGGGGGCGTACACAGAAACCACCGTGGGGGCGTCGACACGAAGGAAACGCTCCAGCTTGTGCTTGTTGGCTGGAGAGAGAGACAATCACAGGTTAGATACAACACTGAGCCTAACACTGACTGTAGACATGAAGCAGATAAAATACATGGTTCCATCACTTGCTTTGTTAACGCTAAAGTGCTGAAAGCTAGCCAAAACACAATACTCCAGTCCCCACAGTGTCAGCATATTTGCCATACTTTTTATTCAATAGACCATTTTTGTTCAAGACATAAATGGTGCAGTTTAGCCAGATCCCCCTACCTGATGTGTGCTGGGAGAAGATGGGGCAGGCCCTGAACCTCCTGAATCCACAGTGGAACACCAGCTTCTTTTAGACTTGATAGGGTCTGTGTTGCTGGGGTGTCTCCTCACCAGCATGTGCATCACTGACATCTGATCACACAGGATGGAAAGAAACGTTTACGTTACGTTATTTAGCAGACGCTCTTATCCAGAGCGACTTACAAATAGGACCAAGGGGTAAGGAGCTGGAAGAATAGTGTCATGACTCTTCCTGGGTCAGGATCAAAGGGGGGGGGGGGGGGCTGTGCCGGTGTTGACACCTTAATACTGCCATAAATTAGAAATAGGAGAATCTATTTCTGGCCCTCTAGTATGGTGAGAGGACTGTCCTTTGTTTCAGAGACTTTTGCCGCCCAAAACATCCAACAATGAATATTGGGACAATATATTTCAACATCCAAACGTTGGGAATGATGAGAAATGGAATATGTAAAATTAATGTATATTTTGTGGTGTCATTAAAAATTGTACAGTGGGGAAAAAAAGTATTTAGTCAGCCACCAATTGTGCAAGTTCTCCCACTTAAAAAGATGAGAGAGGCCTGTAATTTTCATCATAGGTACACGTCAACTATGACAGACAAATTGAGGAAAAAAAATCCAGAAGATCCCATTGTAGGATTTTTAATGAATTTATTTGCAAATTATGGTGGAAAATAAGTATTTGGTCACCTACAAACAAGCAAGATTTCTGGCTCTCACAGACCTGTAACTTCTTCTTTCAGAGGCTCCTCTGTTGGCACCTGTTTGAACTTGTTATCAGTATAAAATACACCTGTCCACAACCTCAAACAGTCACACTCCAAACTTCACAATGGCCAAGACCAAAGAGCTGTCAAAGGACACCAAAAACAAAATTGTAGACCTGCACCAGGCTGGGAAGACTGAATCTGCAATAGGTACGCAGCTTGGTTTGAAGAAATCAACTGTGGGAGCAATTATTAGGAAATGGAAGACATACAAGACCACTGATAATCTCCCTCGATCTGGGGCTCCACGCAAGATCTCACCCCGTGGGGTCAAAATGATCACAAGAACGGTGAGCAAAAATCCCAGAACCACACGGGGGGACCTAGTGAATGACCTGCAGAGAGCTGGGACCAAAGTAACAAAGCCAACCATCAGTAACACACTACGCCGCCAGGGACTCAAATCCTGCAGTGCGAGACGTGTCCCCCTGCTTAAGCCAGTACATGTCCAGGCCCGTCTGAAGTGCATTTGGATGATCCAGAAGAGGATTGGGAGAATGTCATATGGTCAGATGAAACCAAAATATAACTTTTTGGTAAAAACTCAACTCGTCATGTTTGGAGGACAAAGAATGCTGAGTTGCATCCAAAGAACACCATACCTACTGTGAAGCATGGGGTTGGAAACATCATGCTTTGGGGCTGTTTTTCTGCAAAGGGACCAGGACGACTGATCCGTGTAAAGGAAAGAATGAATGGGGCCATGTATCGTGAGATTTTGAGTGAAACCCTCCTTCCATCAGCAAGGGCATTGAAGATGAAACGTGGCTGGGTCTTTCAGCATGACAATGATCCCAAACACACCGCCCGGGCAACGAAGGAGTGGCTTCGTAAGAAGCATTTCAAGGTCCTGGAGTGGCCTAGCCAGTCTCCAGATCTCAACCCCATAGAAAATCTTTGGAGGGAGTTGAAAGTCTGTGTTGCCCAGCGACAGCCCCAAAACATCACTGCTCTAGAGGAGATCTGCATGGAGGAATGGGCCAAAATACCAGCAACAGTGTGTGAAAACCTTGTGAAGACTTACAGAAAACGTTTGACCTGTGTCATTGCCAACAAAGGGTATATAACAAAGTATTGAGAAACTTTTGTTATTGACCAAATACTTATTTTCCACCATCATATGCCAATAAATTCATTAAAAATCCTACAATGTGATTTTCTGGATTTTTTTTTCTCATTTTGTCTGTCATAGTTGACGTGTACCTATGATGAAAATTACAGGCCTCTCTCATCTTTTTAAGTGGGAGAACTTGCACAATTGGTGGCTGACTAAATACTTTTTTTCCCCACTGTATAAAGGCGTTATAACTAAAACATTGTGACTTGAAGAGCTTTTACACTGTGTATATCAGGCTTACATCCTTTACCTTGGGTAGAAAATATCAAGGAGGAAGACAATGTCTTCCTGAAGATAGGAATGTGACTTTAGCTTTCTAACAAAATCATAGTGATAATAATACTTTTGCCTCATAACTAGCCACGCCACACCGAGGGAGCTCAGAGAGCGTGTCAGCATGACGGAAACGCCCCTCTTTACCAGAGTGCATAAAAGACTGAGATAAGAATTATCAGATCAGACTAGACGGACCTCAAGCTGCAGCGGTTGTCCATATTGGTCCCGACCCTGAAAATCAACACGAGGTGAAGACGACAAAGTTGCCTCCACTAACAATCAATGTTACGGCTGAGTAGCTGTTCTAAGTACTGTATCTAAGAAGGTGAATTTAAGTGGGACGTTTTACGTTTACGTTTTAGTCATTTAGCAGACGCTCTTATCCAGAGCGACTTACAGTTAGTGAATACATATATATATATATTTTTTTTTTATACTGGCCCCCAGTGGGAATCGAACCCACAACCCTGGCGTTGCAAACGCCATGCTCTATCAACTGAGCTACATCCCTGCCGGCCATTCCCTCCCCTACCCTGGACAACGCTGGGCCAATTGTGCGCCGCCCGTGAGTCTCCCGGTCACGGCCGGCTGCGACAGAGCCTGGATTCGAACCAGGATCTCTAGTGGCACAGTTAGCACTGCGATGCAGTGCCTTAGACCACTGCGCCACTCAGGAGTACCATCCTGTTACTCTCTTCAAACCATCGTCTACTACACTGCTCTCATCACCCCACATGGGGATCATCGACACGGCTGCTTAGCCATCCTCAGAAGACCACTTCCAGAACGAGTGAAAGTAAACAGATTACTAAGAAGAAGGACATTGTGACCTCTTGTGGACAATCTGAGCCTTACATCTAAAAGGCCATCTGAAAAGAGAAGGCCCACCCTTCCCACGAAGGCCTGGGTCCAACAGAGACGACAAAGACAAACACGTAAATACATGCATTACTTCTTACCAAACGGGCGGAAGTTCTGGGCAAAGTATTAGGATTACTATGAGCGTAGGTCCATGTGTATCCAAGTGTTTTTCTCTCTCTCTTTAACTCGCCATCTTTTGTAACAAATGTCATATTGTGTTAGTCCGCTAGGGACCCGTTTTCATTGTATTACGTTTTTTAATCCCTACCTATACCCTGTATGTGTTTGTATCTTGTGTTATCATTTTTAATTAGTTAGTAAATACATAATTAAATAAATGTGTGTGGTACGGAATGATCAGTAAGACCCGGGTTCGTACAGACTTAAAGAGCCTACGACTTTCAGAATGAGACTGATATGAGGTAAATGATTAATAAATGACTGTTAAATGATAAGATATCTAGATATCTTTAGAGTTAATTCGGGAAACCGCAACCCGTTAAACAACTTTTCCCGTGGTGCCCCAAATTCCTAATGAGTTAATTGTTACATTATTAATTTAATCTATTAACAATTAAACATTATTTCGGTAATTATTCGATAAATAATAGTCATCACAATAATGAAAGGCACGTCACGTCAATAGTTTCTAACGAACAATTGTGTTAATAAGACCATTAGGTTGTTAGAATTATCATTTCTATCTATCTATCTATCTATCTATATACACACACACAAGTCCAAAAGTATGTGAACACCTTCTCGTCGAACATCTCATTCCAAAATCATGGACATTAATATGGAGTTGGTCCCCCCTTTGCTGCAATAACAGCATCCACTCTTCTGGTCCTCTGTAGCTCAGCTGGTAGAGCACGGCGCTTGTAACGCCAAGGTAGTGGGTTCGATCTCCGGGACCACCCATACACAAAAATGTATGCACGCACGACTGTAAGTCGCTTTGGATAAAAGCGTCTGCTAAATGGCATATTATATTATATTATTATTATATTATTCTGGGAAGGCTTTCAACTAGATGTTGGAACATTGCTGCGGGGACTTGTTTCCATTCAGCCACAAGAGCATTAGTGAGGTCGGGCACTGATGTTGGGCAATTAGGCCTCGCAGTCGGCGTTCCAATTCATCCCAAAGGTATTTGATTGGGTTGAGGTCAGGGCTCTGTGCAGGCCAGTCAAGTTCTTCCACACAGATCTTGACAAACCATTTCTGTATGGACCTCACTTTGTGCCCGTTGGTATTGTCATGCTGAAACAGAAAAGGGGCCTTCCCCAAACTGTTACCACAAAGTTGGAAGCACAGAATCGTCTAGAATGTCATTGTATGCTGTAGCGTTAAGATTTCCCTTCACTGGAACTAAGGGGCCTAGCCCAAACCATAAAAAACAGCCCCAGACCATTATTCCTCCTCCACCAAACTTTACGGTTGGCACTATGCATTGGGTTAGGTAGCGTTCTCCTGGCATCCGCCGAACCCAGATTCGTCCGTCGGACTGCCAGATGGTGAAGTGTGATTCATCACTCCAGAGAATGCATTTCCACTGATCCAGAGTCCAATGGTGGCGAACTTTACACCACTCCAGCCTACGCTTGGCATTGCGCGTGGTGATCTTAGACTTGTGTGCGGCTGCTCGGTCATGAAAACCCATTTCATGAAGCTACAGACAAACAGTTATTGTGCTGACGTTACTTCCAGAGGCAGTTTGCAACTCGGTAGTGAGTGTTGCAACCGAGGTCAGTGCTTCAGCACTTGACGGTCCCGTTCTGTGAGCTTGTGTGGCCTACCACTTCGCAGCTGAGCCGTTGTTGCTCCTAGATGTTTCCACTTCACAAGAACAGCACTTACAGTTGACCGGTGCAGCTCTAACAGGGCAGAAATTTGACAAACTGACTTCTTGGAAAGGTGGTATCCTATGACGGTGCCACATTGAAAGTCACCGAGTTATTCAGTAAGGCCATTCTACTGCCAAGGTTTGTCTATGGACATTGCATGGCTGTGTGCTCGATTTTATACACCTGTCAGTAACGGGTGTGGCTGAAATAGCCGAAATAGCCACTAATTTGAAGGGGTGTCCACATCCTTTTGTATATATAGTGTATATTCATAATTTATATAATATATAAATATATATTAATAATTTCTATCTGATTCTGTAGTTTGTCTACACTTTTACCAACATTTTACAGCAGAAATGGGTTACAATTCTTAACTTTCAGACTTAGGACACAATAATTCAGGAGTATGCCAATACAGTCTACCTTCTGTTCATGTGGCAGTAAGAAGACCAGCACCAGAGGCCTGCCTGCCTGGACACTCTCCATCACCGTGGGGGGAACATCCACTACATGGAGGGTCACATACCAGCCCACCTAGAAAGCAGAGCACGGTTAATGGATGGGGGGCACAGAGAGGGGACAGGATTGAAACAGGATGTCGCACACGGCAGCCTCTTACCATGCCCCCTCTTCCTCCTGCGCAGCCTCAGCCAGTATGCGGCGGCGTGTGCGCTCAAAGCTCTGAAACTGGAAGATGTGGGAGTAGTCTGCAGGCAGGTTCTCCATGGGGTCCCAGGGGGAGGAGCGGAAACTCTTCAGGCCCCTGTAACGCTGGAACCTGAGCACATAGGAAATTAGCAACGTCAACGTATAGCAAAATAATTACGCTGGGCCAGGACTTCCTGGAAAGTAAAGTTTGGGCATTAACGGCTCGAAGGCATTGTCTATTACATATGACCAGATGTTTCAGACATGTTTGGTGCATTCCTCCCCCCTCAGACTTTCCCCTGAGTGTTGCTAAAGGAAATGTTAGATCTTGGAGTGCTTTGACCCTTTGACCAAAGGCCAGGATGAAGTCACTAGCTGGAAATGTTCCACCACCATCAGCAAAACACCAAATTATGGAATTTCTCGAGGAAGAATGGTGTTGCAATAGAGTTCCAGACACTTGTAAAATATATGCCATGGGGCACTGAAGCTGTTCTGGCGGCCCAACGCCCTATTAAGACACTTTATTTTGTCAGTTACCTGTATGTGAGCCATGGGTCTAATGTGGATGTTACATGTCTTTTTCAAGGATTGGTTGAATGTTTTTGCTTAGACAGCCCCGCTGTACTGTACTGAAGGAAAAGTAAGGGGCCACTGTGTGTTTGGTAATAGACGATACGATAGTCACCTGTTCTTAGCCGATTGGTCTAGAGGTGTGTCCACTTCATCTGGGAACATCTCATTGGCCCGAGCCTCCCGGTAGCGTTTTAACCCCTCCCCTTCCTCTGCCTCATCCATGTGCTCATCATAGCGCTGGTCTGATCCACCCTTGTCTGATGTGGAATTCAGCTCCTCCTCATCCTCATCATCCTCGTACTCATTAGAGCCACAACCTGAGGCAGCATCCTAAACCAAACAGGAAAAGACAGGATGTTTCTACTAGGGCTGGGAATTGCCAGGGATCTTATAATACGATATTATCACAATACTTAGGTGCCGATACGATATGTATTGCGATTCTATATGTATTGCGATTTGATACTGTGATTTTATTGCGATTCGATGTTCCAAACATATTGCTCACTATATTTTGCTGCAGAGGGCCAAGATAGACCCATGAGAAAACGAGTTTTGATCAGTCATGGAAATAAGTGCTGAAAACAAATTGGTTCCCTATTTAAAAGGATGATGGAGAACAAGCTATGAAGGAAAAATACTGGAGTTTTGGTGCAGGTACAGCCAACTGGCGCAAAAATAATATTGCGATATTGTCAATATGATATATCGTCAAAAATAATATCCCGATATGTAACTGTATCGATTACCCCCCATCACTAGTTTCTACTGCAGAGCTACTGTACATACTACATCATATATATGGTCCCGTGTAGCTCAGTTGGTAGAGCATGGCGCTTGCAACGCCAGGGTTGTGGGTTCGATTCCCACGGGGGCCAGTATGAAAATGTATGCACTCACTAACTGTAAGTCGCTCTGGATAAGTGCGTCTGCTAAATGACTAAAATGTAAATGTAAATGTATATATGTAATGTCAACTACTGGTCTTAATGAGGTTCAAGCCCTTTATACTATTTATAAGCCTAATGGTAATGAGCCAACATGTTGGCCCAAGGAAGTTAGAAGAAGTATACAAGTGGTTCTCACAGAAGTGGCATTACAGTAAGCAAGAGATACATGAGGGGGAAATCTTCACTGCATGGGGTCAATTCACAACCTTAAGAACAATCCCAGCTGCAATAATAATAATCATGATCATCCCCAGCACCATTTCCTCCATTGTTAACATCTCCTAGATGTTAAATCCTGTCTAACCCCAACATCAAACACATGCTGATAATAATTAAAGAAAATAAATGGAGCTGAACCTTTTCGCCATAGAATAATTTCCCCCCTTCTTTCAAGCAGGGCTGTTATAAATAAATGGCCGTCCCCTCCCCTGGTCCAGACAGGAAGTTGTGTCCGCAGATCAGGAAGTCAGGTGGCTTCTCTTGGGACCCCTGCTCCAAACACTATTGTTGCCACAGTGAGCAGCCTGGCACTACAGCCCAGAGGCAGACACTGAGAAAACAAACAGTGGTGCTGCGCCGCAGACTAACCACGGGTCACGTATACACTGTTCTGTTCCACCCCCAACCTAACCCCAACCACACACTGAACCGTCTGGCGTCCGCCACTTTTTTCCCCCACCAATCACTGTCCTGTCTGAGCTGCTTCCCCCTGACGTCTTCCGCATCACCCCACATCAGCTCAGACGTCTCAACAATCAACTCAGAATACCAACGGATCACCCTCTTCTCCTTGCACTACCCCTTCTGCTAACGCTTTCCTTTAGTGGTTTCACTGTTGCCACGGCAACAGGCAGAGGGTAAACAAACACGTAAACAAACACCTTAGCAGTGCACCCAATGCGCTGAGACAGGATGAGGTCAGCATAACAGTTGTCGCTCTTTCTTCTGAATTAATGGCTACAGGGACCATCTGAGTTGACCCTTGCATTTATTTTTGCACAGTCTATGAACACTCACAGGACTCTACACACTCACGCACACTGACACCACAACACACACATAACATGCACACACATTTATACTGACTCTAAACAGACACAAACATACAATCTTAATTTATGCTGCTACTACTCTCTGTCATACATCCTGATGCCTTGTCACCTTACCCCTATACATCTACCTATATTACTCCAGTATCCCTTCACATTGTATATATGGTACTGGAACTGACCACCCTGTATATAGCTTTTTACTTTCTTATTTCTAGTGTCTTTTTGTTCTACCTTATGTTATTTTTAGTACTACATTGATATTGATTACTGCATTGTTGGGTTTAGAGCTTGCAAGAAAAGCATTTCACTGTACTTGTGCACGTGACAATAAAACTTGAAACTAATGCTGTATGTCCCGGGAGAAATACATACATAAGCATTCTTCTGTGCAGCCTTTTCAGTTTCCCAGGCTGTGGAGTGTACTCACTACTTACCACCTGAGAGTCAAGGTCCTCTCCATCTATGGACTCGTCCATCATCGCATCATCCTCCTCATCGTCAGTGCTCACTTCATCCTCCTCATCCACAATCCACGTGGCCTGGTAGTCTGATGTCCCCTTAGGCACCTTCATAACACGCTTGCTCTTTCTGGCCTCTGAGGGAAGGAGAAACATTTATTAGAGACAAGTTCATTACATTGTAAACCCAGAGAGAATAATAAACTCAGTGTCGACATGAACTGGTTCAAAGTACCCATACAATGGATGCCAACAACAGCACTGCGACCATACAGCTATCATGTAATTCAATGTAATGACCCTATAACTCTGTCCACTCTCTCCCTTTACCTTCAGCCTCCAGCAGTTCAGTATCAGAGGACCAGGTCTGCTCTCCATCCATGGGGTCTACCTCTGCCTCGGCCTGCAGACTCTCCCTGCGAGCTGGGTCTGCCTTCATCAGCACCCGCACTGATGCCACCTCATCAACACCACCATCCTGAAACGCTTAGAGAGCAGTTAGCACCTACTGTCAACGAGCAGAAGCAGCGCTGATAAATGTCTTCACTATAGTTTGTAAATTATTCATTAAATCACTGTCAATTTTCTATGTAATGATATCAGCCTGTGATAAGCTGTGACCATCTTCGTAACATTGCAAAAATCAGAAACGTTTTGCCCAAAAACGATGCAGAAAAGCTCATCCATGCTTGTCACTTCTAGATTAGACTACTGCAATGCTATACTCTCAGGCTAACCGGATAAATAAACTTCAGTTAGTGCTAAATACGGCTGCTAGAATCTTGACTAGAACCAAAAAAGTTGATCATATTACTCCAGTGCTATTACTAGCTTCCTGTTAAGGCTAGGGCTGATTTCACGGTTTTACTGCTAACCTACTTAGCATTACATGGACTTGCTCCTACCTATTTCTCCGATTTGGTACATACCTACACGTACGCTACGGTCACAAGACGCAGGCCTCCTTATTGTCCCTAGAATTTCTAAACAAACAGCTGGAGGCTTTCTCCTATAGAGCTCCATTTTTATGGAATGGTCTGCCTATCCATGTGAGAGACGCAGACTCGGTCTCGACCTTTAAGTCTTTACTGAAGACTCATCTCTTTAGTAGGTCCTGTGATTGAGTGTAGTCTGGCCTAGGGGTGCGAAGGTGAATGGCAAGGCACTGGAGTGATGAACCGCCCTTGCTGTCTCTGCCTGGACGGCTCCCCTCTCTCCACTGGGATTCTCTGCCTCTAACCCTATTACGGGGGCTGAGTCACTGGCTTACTAGTGCTCTTCCATGCCGTCCCTGTCGTGCAACGTGGTAGCTACGTCGCTATACTCAACTTGAGTGGGTTGAGTCACTGACGTGATCTTCCTGTCCGGTTTTTGCGCCCCCCGGGCTATAAATATTTGTGGGCTATACTCAGCCTCGTCTCAGGGTAGTAAGTTGGTGGTCTGTTGATATCCCTCTAGAAGTGTGGGGGCTGTGCTTTGGCAAAGTGGGTGCGGTTATATCCTGCCTGGTTGGCCCTGTCCGGTGGTATCGTCGGACAGGGCCACAGTGTCCCCCGACCCCCCCAGTCTCAGCCTCCAGTATCTATGCTGCAATAGTCTATGTGCCGGAGGGCTTGGGTCATTCTGGCCTATCTGGTGTCCTGTGTGAACTTAAGTATGCTCCCTCTAATTCTCCCATTTCTCTCCCCTCCTGGAGGACCTGATCCCTAGGAGAGAGAGAGAGAGAGAGAGAGAGAGAGAGAGAGAGAGAGACCCACCTGCATGCCTACGTCTCCTTCCTTCCCTGGCTTAGCAGGACGAGCGGTCATAGAGTTGAGGGGAAGGGGGTCTATGGGCGCATCGATCTGACTGAGCTGGAAGTCTCCAAACCCAGAGATGTGCACCAGCCTGTCCACCTGCAGAGGGCAGCCTCGGACATACCCAGACACACGCAGGGTCCCCAGGCCCATGGGGGCTCCCCCACTCCCCATCTCAGAGCTGTTGGGAGTGTAGGAGACCTGCTGGGCCAGGAGGTGGGGCCGACGGGAGCGGAAGCCCAGCCTCCTCTGCCTCTGTGCTCACAGGTGTCTGAGCATCAGTGTGGCGTCCTGGTCTGAGTCCAGGGGGAAGAGGCGTGCCCCGGGGAAGCGGATTTCGGATATCTTGGCCAGCGCCCACCGTGAGTCCACACGCTTCTTCACTGCCAGGTCTGAAACACCCTGACACACCAGAGCTGGGGGAGAGAGAAGTGGAGGTTATATAGGATAGAGATGACAGGCGAGAGAAGTGGAGGTTATATAGGATAGAGATGACAGGAGAGAGAAGTGGAGGTTATATAGGATAGAGATGACAGGAGAGAGAAGTGGAGGTTATATAGGATAGAGATGACAGGAGAGAGAAGTGGAGGTTATATAGGATAGAGCTGACAGGAGAGAGAAGTGGAGGTTATATAGGATAGAGATGACAGGAGAGAGAAGTGAAGGTTATATAGGATAGAGCTGACAGGAGAGAGAAGTGGAGGTTATATAGGATAGAGCTGACAGGAGAGAGAAGTGAAGGTTATATAGGATAGAGCTGACAGGAGAGAGAAGTGAAGGTTATATAGGATAGAGATGACAGGAGAGAGAAGTGGAGGTTATATAGGAGAGAGATGACAGTGGATGCAGAGAAAATAAGTGGTGGGGTAGTTGAGATTTGGAGTAAAGGAATCAGTATAACATGTATAATATCTACAGTATGTCATCTGCTAAACATTTAGATAATCAGCAAGGGGAGTTGAACAAAATCCAGTGCACTGTGAGCGTCTTTTTTGGATAGCTTGTATGGAAGCTCACCATGGGTGGGCAGCCCCTGTGCAAAGAGACAGGAGAGGCAGTAGTCTCCATAGCTGTCCCAGCCTTCTGTAGAGTCCAGCACAAACACCAGACTGTCTGCTACCTTCACCACGTCTAGTAGAGTGTGCATGTCAGCTAGAGAGTGAAGGGAGAGGGAGGGAATAGAGTCACAGGTAATGTTATCGGATTAGTACTAGTGTCGGCATCGAATGACAGCAGGTAGCCTAACGGTTAAGATCAATCAATTAATCAAATGTATTTATAAAGCCCTTTTTACATCAGCAGATGTCACAAAGTGCTATACAGAACCCCAGCCTAAAACCCCAAACAGCAAGCAATGCAGATATAGAAGCACAGTGGCTAGGAAAAACTCCCTAGAAAGGCAGAAACCTAGGACGAAACCTAGAGCGTTAGGCCAGTAACCGAAAGGTAGCTGGTTCGAATCCCTGAGACGACTAGGTGAAAAATCTGTTGACGTGCCCTTGAGCAAGGCACAACCCTAATTGCTCCTGTAAAGGAGTCAGCATGCTTCAGTTCGGCTGGTGCCTAGCCAAACTCGGCTAGCCGAACCGAACGAGTGTGCTCGCATACTCCCCTTTTTAAAAAAAATGACAGCAATAGTACTGTTTGTCCATTTTGAGACGCCGTAGCCAGTATACACTTCCTCAAAATAGTCCAAATTTATCTAAGAAATCTGTAATTAATTGACGTTTTTGCAGAAGAGATCTTAGTCGTGCAATTTCACATCTAACTAAGATGTTTGGTGCAGTATTTCTCAATGAAAAAATTTGCATGATAGTGAGTCGTCTCTCGTTGAATGACAACAAAGAGTTTATAGAAGAATCTCTACTGTTGACCAATCACCAACGAAAGAGCGTAGACTTCGGCTCCGAACTTCGTCTTGGCCCCGAACAGCCGAAAAACCCCTCACCGAAGTCCAAAACTAACAAACGTCACAAAATGTTGTCATAGTAAACATTTCACTGTAAGTATTCACTGTTGTATTCGGCACATGTGACAAATAAAATTTGATTTTATTTAATATATGCACAAACACTTCCAAACTGTTTCGGATGGGAAGCATGCGGACGCCTTAAGTCGCTCTGTATAAGAGCATCTGCTAAATGACTCAAATGTAAATGAATGACTCAGAATGCCCCTTATAAACATTCAGTACAGCCAGACATGGATTATACTTGCATTTACATAAACTATAAATCAGTATCTATATAAAACTTTAGTGTTGACAACATAAACACATTGTAGTAGCCAAGTCGGTGAGCTACCTGTGTCTGGGCAGAGGAAGGTGAACCTCTGTTTGAAGCGGGGCATGACCAGGCCAAAGCTGTCACTGACCCCACACACACTCTTCTCCTCACGCACCAGCCCGCCAGCCTCCTCACACCGCAGCAGCCTGGTCACAGCCTCAGCAGCCTGGTCACAGCCTCAGCATTCACACCTGCATGGAGGGCCACCACAGCCACCAGGTGGGGGGGACCATCCCTGCTGCCCAGACTACGTTTCTCTGCCAGGACCTGGACAGGACAGACACGTAGCATTAAAGGTAGACTCAGCAATGTACAAAGTAATAGTAATATCGTGCTGATTTCCGCAACAACTAAGAGTGCATCAATGCTAAACTTCTCCTCTGTTTTGGGCCCGTAGCTACCACGTTGTAGCAGATACTCTGTGTGACTGCAAAGTCTTGCATCGCTTTCATCTGAATATCTGCGGTGCTGCTTGTTGTAATGTCATAACGCTGACTCTACCTTTAACTTGTCTGATTCATACCACAGTGGTTCCAAAGTGACATTGTGTCAAATGCAAGAGCATCTTACCAGGTCCTTCTTATTTTGCCGCAGCTGGTTGGCTTTGTGTCTTTTGTCCAGCTTTCTCGCCTCTTGCCTCTGTTTCTTGGTAAGAGCCGTCACCGACACTCTACCTGTTGGAGATGACATCATTCAAAGGTAAATGACAGATCAGGATGGAAACAAATGAAAAGGGCATGGCTACCAACATGTGCACTAACAGATAAACACTTACAGTTGATGTAAGGGTAGAGGACTAAACTCCTGTCCATGGTGAAGGAGGTTTCTGATGATCCACCAAAGGTGTGGAGCAGAGACCAGGCTTTGTGGAATCTAGCTCCTACTACATGGACTTGCCCAAGGTCAATAATATGAAATGCCTACCTTGTACCTACACTACCAGTCAAAAGTTTGGACACACCACTCATTCAAGGGTTTTTCTTTATTTTTACATTGTAGAATAATAGTGAAGACATCAGAACTATGAAATAACACATATGGAATCATGTAGTAACCAAATTTTTTTTAAACAAGTCTAAATATATTCAAATAGCCACCCTTGAAGCCACCCTTGAAGACAAATTATAGATAAAACGTATCGGTGCTCATTGGACATAAACATTACACAACAATTTGGAAATCGCAAATTCAACAATGAGTTGTTTGGAAGGAATCAGTGGCTAACTGCAAGCATTGCAAAGCGATCACTAGCCTGCTATTCAGTGGAGAGGGTGTGTGGTCCAAGTCTGGGTTTAAGGGTCTCTTTTCCAAGCTTAAAAGGATAAACGTTCAACATTGGCCATGCTGTCAATCCAGCGTGACTTCTGCCGCGCTCAAAACAACTGGAACTCTGGAACAGGGAACTCTGGAATAAAATGAGCTTCGACTGGGAAAATACGTTTTGAACGGTCATCCAACTCGGAATTGCAAGTTGGGAACTCGGGCCTCGTTCTAGAGCTCCGACCTGAAGATCACTGATGTTGTCATGATTCGACATTGTCTGTCTCCCCCCCCCCGAGTTCCAAGTTGTCTTGAAAGCACCATAAATCCAGAGAATGCCAGACTTGGAGGAGAGGCAAAGGTTGGTCTCGGAGCCCGGATGAAATGGGGACTGTGCTTGAATCTGAAAGTGCGGCAAGTGAAGTGTGTGATAATGAATGGAACATAGTGAAATCAAAGAATGGAACAAAATGAGCAAAAGTTGTAGTAGAAGACAAGGACCGGTCCCATAATACATTTCTTATTGGACTGCGTTTTTTGGACAAGGAGATTCATTTGGGAAATCCGTTAGTAATATTGAGGACTGTGAAGAAAGCAGTGGGAAAGGTGGATTCAATCAAGGTGACTAGAAGCAGCCTTGTTTTGGTTAATTGTGTTGATGAAGAACAGAAGAAGTGTGCACTAGATCTGGCAAAATTGTCCACGTCAGAAGTAACATGTATCTTCGGAGCAGGGCCCCTTTCAAATGAGTTATAGCTGGAGTCTCGTTGGATATAGATGACGAGTACCTTAGAAAATTCCAGGAGTGGTCAGTGCACATCGCCTGACCCGTACGGTAAATGGAAGGAAGGAGAAAAGCCTATCGATATTATTGTTGTTTGAGGAGACTCTACCTGAATATGTGATGCTTGGATATGTGAGGTATGCGTTGAGAGCATTTGTGTCCAAACCATTACAGTGTGGGAATTGTAAAGGATATGGTCACGTGTCAAATGTTTGCAGATGGGAGAAGTATAGTATTGAAGAACCTGTCAATGGAAAATGTTGCAACTGTGGTGGGAATCATACTCCGGACTTCCTTAAGTGCCCTGTTAGGGTGAAGGAGGTTGAGGTGTCAAGGATCAGGGCTGTGCAGCAGATTTCCTATGTGGAGGTGGTGAAGAGAGTCGAAGGGGCAAGAGGCAACAGTGTTGAAGATATGGAGGTGGATGCAATGCAACCAGTTGCTAGCGTTTTAAGTCAATCGAGTGATGACTGTAAGTCGCTTTGGATAAAAGCGTCTGCTAAATGGCATATTATTATTACTATTATTATTATTATCTGGATACACATTGTGAAGAAAGTGGATTTTGGGGCATTTATTGCCACAGTGATTAATTGTACAGCAAAAGTGTCTAAGAAGTCCAAGAAGCTGGACATCATTATATCTGCAGCCGATATGTTTTTGGGGCTCCAAGACTTCACGGCAGAAGCACTGCAAGGACTATTGTCAATAGGAAATGTCCCACCCTCACAGGAGTCTTTTGAGCCTGTGTAGGGACCTGTTTAGTTAATTTATTTTCTGATAGTTTGTATGGTATTTGATTTATTTTTTACCCACATTATTTCCTTTTTTGGGATCCTTATTATTCACCCGCACAGTAGGTGGCGGAATGTACATCAAATTGTTGCAAACACCATAGAAGAAGACCAGACTTTAATGACAAAGTTGGCCCAAGAAGGACCGCCGCGACACCTTCCTGTTCAAGTATGAAAATGTATGCACTCACAAACTGTAAGTCGCTCTGGATAAGAGCGTCTGCTAAATGACTAAAATGTAAATGTAAGTAAGCACAGCACAATAAGGTGAGTCCAAAAGTGTCTTGTATGCTGCAGCATAAATTATGTAATATGCCAGGGAGATATGTATACTGTAGCTAAGGAAGTAATACTAGGTGTATGTTGTGTAGTAAGATGTTAGTAGCCCATGTGCCTCAACCTAATAATTGGGTCCATTTTGTCCTCATAATTTCGCCTACTGTTCTGACTTGGTTGTGCACATGTAGCCTATAGCCTGTTTTAGAGAAATGTAATAATTGAATATTGTAAGCGCTTTCATTGTCTGCTTATATGCCCCCTTTATTTATCCTACGGTTCTGACTTGGTGTACAGGGAGAATACTGTAAGAACGGCCCATGTTCGGAATTATGTCGCTGGACAAATAGTTATATTGACCACGTCCGTGCTAGCTCGCTCATTAATGCCTTAATCGAAATTACGGATTGCCTCTTATCTGCTCGTCGTCCTCTTATGCCATAGTTTGTACATCTCAATTGTCAGAAGAAACAACATTTGTTTAAGCAAGTCAGCCAATTCAGCTATGTTTTTTTAAAGCCAGTAAATGAGGCTGAATGAACTGTTTCGCTGCCAGGTGTAGCAGTGGTAAGGTGTTGGGACAGCTTTATGTAGGCCCTAACAGTTTGTGGGCAGCAAAGCCACTACACAACACTAAACAATACATAGTGCAATTAATGTATGTTTAGTGTTGTGTAGTGGCTTTGCTGGCATGTATCCCCAAAAAATGTTTTTGTGTTTGCCCCAACAAGATTTACATGCTAAAACCGCCACTGAAGGTATGGAGTTCCCACATCTGATGATATTAGTTTACCACAGCTAACGTTACTTTCGAAACAGAATTTGAAGCAAGTGTTCTGCAGCACAGCAGCAGCATGTCTATGGCTACAACCAGCGACAGAAAGGACCACATCCCTGCGTCACGAACTTACCCTTGTTCTCCCGTTCGATTTCTCCTTTCGTCCGATGCTTGCCATGTTTATGTTCTTTGTTTTTCTGTTTAAAAACTTCGGCTCTGTGACCCTGCTCTTCGCACCAGACACCATTTTCGCCACGATCATGCGACGGCATGCCAAGTTTGCCAACTTTGATGACGTAGTTCACTTTCGCGTTTGGACTTCTTGCGCAATGTCTGTGTTTGGTCAAATAGGGGTGCTTGTTCCATCTACTGTTTTTCGCAAAAATGACTGCCGTCATTACTAAAGTAAATGTGGATTCAGGGCCTGCTCTATCTATCTATCTATCTCTTTATAAATTGTTAAATGTGGATTCAGGTCCTGCTCTATCTATCTATCTCTTTATAAATTGTTCAGTCATTTTACCAATAACCTCCAAGGGACAATAACATTTTTTTCTAATAATAATAATAATATGCCATTTAGCAGAGGCTTTTATCCAAAGCGACTTACAGTCATGCGTGCATACATTTTTTGTGTATGGGTGGTCCCGGGGATCGAACCCACTACCTTGGCGTTACAAGCGCCGTGCTCTACCAGCTGAGCTACAGAGGACCACTGTAGGATGATTTGATCAATAGTTCTGACATGTACATCTTGGATAGATATCAGTGTGGCTGTTACAATGATGAAACATTTCACATTCTCTAGCTATGTCACAACATCATTATCAGGTTACCTATGAAATGCTGTGCAAAATATCTCATGAGTTCACAAGTCCCATCCTCAGAGTAGAGTGGGAGAAAGGAGGGAAGGCACGCTCCTTATAGGGCAGGGGCAGCCCACTCAGACCTATCTCAGGAAATGCATAGAGACAGAGATAGGACTTGAAGGATGTTCTAGGCAGGATAGTACTACTGAGTTCAGTTTTCTTCTTCTTAGCAAACACTTGAACAGCTTCGGATAGGCTACATCTAGCGCCCTATCATCCAGCTTCTTTCTAAATGATATCCTCTTGTAAAAAGGTACATTTAATAGGATTATCTTTCAAAATCGTCTTTATGTTAATCTGGATGCACTTTTGATATACAGCATTGTATTCTTCATGATCACCCTTTTTCTTTGGCATCAGAATTGTAACTTACAGCACTGTTCTATATCGTGGAGCTCCGCCCCATAGGGGAGCTCTGCTCCTAGTGGTTTACCCTCTGCCCTAAGGCAGAACAGCCTGAAGCAAATTTATGCACACACCTGCAGCCAATGGGAGCACAGGTGCCCCTATAAGAGGGGACACATCCCCTCAATCAGCCTCCCTTTATCTTCAGCGACTGGACGACTAGACTGAAGAAGCCAAGAAGAGAAGAAGACTCAGGAAGAAATCGCCGTCGATGATCCAGCCATCGACGTCTTCTAAATGAGCACACCAGGAGATTTTCCACCCCCAAAAGCCCTTTTCAGGGCTCAGTGCCGATGTACCGCCATGACATCTGCGGACCCCCACGACCTTTGTTTCGTGTGCTTGGGGCCGCAGCATGCCAAGGAAGGAGCCGGCAATCCCCCTAGTTGCGCCTCCTGCGCCCTCCTTCCTATGAAGGAGAGGAAGCAGCGTTGGGCGTTTTTTAGGGAAGATATCCCCCTAGAGGATGTATTGTCTCTTCTCGCCTCTGCTTCAGAGGCGTCGTCGGACAGTGCTGGCTCAGGGGATGATAAGGAGGGAGACGCAGAGATGGATGTTCCAATGGAACAATCCAACCCTCTAGCGCCAACCTTCAAGACCCCCTTCCCTATGGGGAGTACGAGGTCTGAAGGCTCCTTATGCGATGACGACACGGGCTCTGTTACGTCAGCAGCCCTGTCCTTCGCAGCGGCCTCTCTGCGTTCGGACTTTCCCGAACTCATTGAGAGAGCCGCCAATCGACTCGAGATAGCGCTGCCCCCTGCTCCCCCCCGTGGAGGTTGACTTGATGGAGGGCGGCCCCTACTCTAAACCAAGGAAGGCAGCTGAGCCGATGGCTCCGGCTATGCCTTCCCTTGGGAAATATGTCGAGGGCTCGTGGAACACACCCCTGGCGGCGCGTTCGCCGGCCAAGGTGTACATCCCATTCACGAGAGTGGCTGGACGTGAGTGGGCGGCTATGGGAATCCCTAAGCTCGAGAGCGCCATGGCGGCGTATCTAGTGCCGGGTTCGAGTCCCTGGGCGGCCTCCAAGAAAGCCATCTTACCAGCACAAAAAGACAGACTCACAGCACAGCTGGCTGAGAAGTCTTTCACGCTGGGAGCCCAGGCTGTGTCAGCGGCTAACAACATCGCCCTCCTCGCGGCCTCCCTATCCCGTCTAACAACGGGTAGGTCAGAGTTGACCAGCGATGAGATTGAAGAGGCGTCCAGGATTTCTGGCGCTATTCTTCACTTGACACAGGCGTCAGCGATATGCGCAGGCCGGTCCATGGCCACCTCGGTGGTCATGGAACGTCACCTCTGGCTGTCAATGACAGCCATGAAGGAGACGGACAGGGCCTCGCTACTAAACGCTCCCGTCTCTAGCGAGGGCCTCTTTGGGGTCGCCGTTAAAGAGGCGACGGAACGCTTTGGTAAGCTGGACGAGGAGAAGAAGCACCTGGCTAAACACCTGCCATTGGCAGGCAAGTTTAGCAGGGCCTCAACCAAACCGTCAACCTCCAACGCCCCCAGTAGAACTACAGGGAGGCGACGGGCCAGGCGACAGGCGCCTACCACCGACAGCAGGCGAGCGGGCTCGGCCCCTCCAGCGACGACGGTGGTGGCGACGATTCCGCCGGCGAGAGAGGTCGTCACGAAACCGTCCTGGCAACACCAGAAGGTCAGCCAGAAAAGACGGCGTCAATGACGGGACGAGGGGGAGAGGACGGATGACGGCTCGGCGCAAGACGCGACAGAGCCCACTGTTCCCCCCCACCCTACTGTTCAGGGCATGGAGGGAAATGTTTATTGTTGTTGTGTGAATAAAGAGCTGGCTCTCACTGACATTGTCACAAAAGGGCCTGTCTTCCATGACACATTGCAGAGTACTTCACGTCCTATGAATTTCTCTCACCATCCTGAGTGTAGCTCAACCCACCAAGGGTGCGTAGTTGAACACACTCAGGAGAGGAAAGAGAAAAAGGTAGCAAGGCGTAGCCTTAGCTCACCTAATAAAGATATTTTACTACAGACTCCTAGGAGCTCTGTAGTAAAGGTCTCACATAGCAGGCAGCCGTCTCAGTCTAAATATGACATAAAGACGCAGCCGCTAGCTGGGAATGACGCCTTGCTTCAGGCTAACGCCTCAGCCAGCGCAGTTCAGACCCGTGCGACGTTCACGGAGGGCGGGAATACTAGAGTTACAGGTGTAACCAATGTATGGGCGCCCCCGGCTAATTCAGAACGTAACAATGCCCATTACTCTGAGTGCAGCTCACCACACCCAGAGTGTGCTGTTGAGCAGCTTCATGAGACCAGTGAAAAGGAGGTATTGTGGCGCCACCTTGTGGTACCAGTTAGAGACCACACTTTCCAGACTCTGTTGAGTACTGCAGTGGACGGATCTCATGACAAGCAGCAGTCTCAGTCAGACAATGACATGATGACGCAATTGCTATCCGGGGAGGGCGCTCTGCTTCAGGTTAACACCTCAGTCAGGGCAGCTCAAAACCGTGCTGCGTTCACGGAGGGCCGGAATACTAGAGTTACGGATGTAACTGACGTATCAAGGCCTCCGATTCCCTCAGAACGAGCTGATGTTTCCTCTCCCTTTCGAGGGGGGCCCGCCTTGGGCTATTCCACCAACCCAGTGCTGGGGAATAGCGGCGGCGAGGGCCATAGAGGAATACAGGTCCTTCCTACTGGATGCACCACAGCTTCGTGCGCGCCCGCTTTCTCTGCATTGCTGGCAGTGGCAACGAAGCTGTACCCTCTCACGCTGGCTAGAACAGACGTTGCAGAAGGGTTATGCCCTCCAATTCCATCGAACCCCACCCCCGTTCAGGGGAGTGGTGGAGACGGTGATGAAAACGCCGGACAAAGTAGCCACTCTGATGTCAGAGATTACGGAACTTTTGGCGAAGGAGGCGGTCACAGTAGTTCCCCGGGAGCAAAGGAACAAAGGGCTGTATTCGCCTTATTTCCTAGTGCCCAAAAAGACGGGGGGAGTGAGGCCGATTTTGGATTTACGCACTCTCAACGAGAGCATAACCAAACGACCCTTCCGAATGCTGACGACAAAACGTCTACTGGAATGTGTCCAGAAAGGAGACTTTTGTACAAGCATAGACCTAAAGGACGCGTACTTCCATGTGCCGATACAATCGCGTCACAGGAAGTTTCTGCAGTTCGCCTTTCAAGGGGTGGCGTACGAGTTCACGAGGATGCCATTCGGGTACGCCCTGGCACCTCGAACTTTTCCAAATGTGTGGAGGCGGCATTGGAGCCGCTGCGTCGTCAAGGGATAAGGCTATTAGCCTACCTAGACGACCTGCTGGTTCTCGCCCCATCAGCAGAGCTGGCGTTCACTCACACAACACAGACAGTGATTCATCTCACGCGTCTGGGGTTTGCTGTGAATTGGAAAAAGAGCGCACCCTGGCCCAGTCATCAGATTGTCTACCTGGGGCTACAGACACTGTAATGATGAGGGCTCGAATTTCGGACCCTCGAAGGGTAGCATTGTTGCTAGCCCTGAGGAAGTGTCGTCCGAATCACACAGTGACGGCGCTGTCGATCATGTCACTTTTGGGTCTCATGTCGTCAGCCCACTCTGTGGTCCCGCTGGGACTTCTGCACATGCGCAGAATACAGCGATGGTTCGCCCAACTAAGACTAGACCCAGTGCGTCAACGTCATCGGTTGGTGGTGGTTCCTCTCTCGCTAAGAGCAGACCTGGACTATTGGAGGTATCCGAGCGTTCTCACGCACGGAGTCCCGAAGGGCAAGGTGTCATCCTACATTCCAGTATTTACAGATGCTTCTCTGACTGGATGGGGAGGGACATGTCAGACTCAAGCGATAGGAGGTGCATGGCCTCAATCAGGTCGTCACATAAACCTCTTGGAGTTGGAAACGGTTTGACTGGTTCTGACCCACTTTGCGCCTACCCTTCGGGGTCGCGATGTGCTGGTCTGGTCAGACAACCGGACCACAGTAGCTCACATAAATCGCCAGGGA